TCTCTCTCTCTCTCTCTCTCTCTCTCTCTCTCTCTCTCTCTCTCTTTTTTTTTTTCGAGACAGGGTTTCTCTGTATAGCCTTGGCTGTCCTCAACTTATTCTGGCCTCAAACTCAGAAATCCACCTGCCTCTGCCTCCCAAGTGCTGGGATTAAAGGCATGTGCCACCACTGCCCAGCTTCTTTCTTTTTTAAAAAAATATCATTTATTTTATGTATATGGATATACTGTAGCTACTATCTTCAGTAACACCAGAAGAGGACATCGGATCCCATTACAGATGGTTGTGAGCCACCATGTGGTTGCTGAGAATTGAACTTAGGACCTCTGGAAGAGCAATACAGTGCTCTTAACCACTGAGCCATCTCTCCAGTCCTATCACCTGTTTCTTTTAAGTCAATAGAGAGCCAGTAATCTGAGGTTGGTGTTGCCTCTGTAGACTAGCCGCCTATCTCTGTCCCTCCTCCTCAGCTGGGAGGACTGGGGGAGGGGCGGGTGACGAGGATACCTTATGCCACTTCCATGTGCCGGATGACATTTTCCTTTTTTCGTTTGAGAAAGTTGTTAACAACAAAAACAAACCAAAAAAAAAAAAAAAACAAAAAAAAAACAAAAACAAAACAAAAACAAACAAATACCTGGAATGTTCTCACAGGACCCTCAGAAATGTTTGTCAGGGTGTAGGGTGTTGTCTTGGTCATGGAGGATTGGAGAAGACAGACGGATAACGGGAGCTCCAGATCCCACTCAAATTATACAACTCAGGGAGTTTGCGTGTGTTCACAGATTGGCAAGTAGGCAAGTCTGGGGGGCATTTTACTGATTAATGATCGTTGTGGGCGGGCCCAGCCCACTGTGGGCGGTACCAGCCCCGACCAGGTGGTCCTGGGTAGTGTAGGAAATCAAAGTAAGTGAGCCAGGGTGTGGAAGCTTCTGAGCAAAACTCCTCGGTGGTCTCCGCTTCAGTCCCTACCCTGACTTCCCTCAGCGATGGGCTGAGATGTGTAGAAGTATAAGCCAAATAAAGGGACTGTAACTCCACCTCCTGGGGATTCAGCACCCTCTTCTGGCCTCTTTGGGTACTGCACACTTGTGGTACACATACATAAACAGAAGGAAAATACTCATAAATACAAAAATAAATTCTTTTTTTTTTGATCAGCACTCTGACCACACCTACTCAGAGCCCTCCACCATTCCGTTCCCAGTCATCGGCAGCACCTGCCAAGGCAAGCTTCACCCCATGCTCAGGGTTGTCTGTGTGCAATCCCTCATCCCCATCCTGTCTGGGGCTCGGTATTCCCTGCACAAGGGGCACTGCCATGCCTTCTGTGGGGGGAAGATTAGTTGGAAGGATTTGTGTACACACCTTGTCCATGATGTAGCACACACAGTTAGCTGGTATTTCTGCTAATTGCACAGTGCCTGAACACTCCCTGGATGGATGAGCTTGGAGTCACTGTCTCTGTCATCCCTGACTGTGTGAGTTGCTTCATGTCCCTGACTCTGTTTCTCTGTGAGTTAAAAAAAAAAACGAACCTTAAAGTACTTTAGTCACGGGTAATGACAAGGATGTCATGGTGAGAAGTGCAGAACCTTGCACAGACCGAGAACAGTATCAAGAAGCTCTGGGAGGGATAGGGACGTGACAGCCGGTCAGAGAGGGCTGTGCACAACCCAGTGGTTGAAGGAGGGAGTAGGAGAAAGAGAAGCCTCGAGACTTGGTGTTGGGCGGGGCTATCATAACTCACCTGAGACAGTCAACTTACAAAGGGGTTTGTCTGAGCTCACGGTTGCCCCTGTTGTCTGTGGGGGCTGTGGTGAGAGACAGCTCATCAGGCAGGAGTACGCTATCGAAATAAACCATTCACCTTATGAAAAACCAGGGAGCAAAGGGAGAACCAGGCCAGAATCCCATGATCTTATTTAACACCACCTCTCTTCAATGATGCCCTCCCTTGTAGGACCTGCCTCTGAGAGCTTCCAGTGCCCCCTAAAGGTTCCAGGCTGGAGACCAAGCTGAAAAGCATGGGCCTGTGGGGATCACCTCAGTTCAGTACTGCCTAAATGCATATAGGAGGGGCTGGAGAGATGGCTTAGTGGTTAAGAGCACTGACTGCTGCTCTTCCAGAGGTCCTGAATTCAATTCCCAGCAACCACACGGTGGCTCACAAACTCTGTAATGGGATCTGAAGCCCTCTTCTGTTGTACTTGAAGAAAATGACAGTGTACTCACATACATTAAAAAGTCTTTTTTTTTTTTTAATGCACATAGGAGTGACTGTGGTGGGCAACTAGAGAGAGAAATGAGCTTGCAAGCCTGATATGACCTGGGCCTGTGGGAAAGAGAAGTTAAAAACAGTCCCCTACTCTTTCTCTAGAACTGGGAAAAATCAAGAGTCCAAGTTGGGGAGAGAGAGAGGCGTGTGAGGAGGTTGAGGAGACCGAGAAGTGTGGTTGGTTAGGGGAAACATGACTTATAAGGAAATGTCACAACACGGAATTCTCACCATAGATACCAGGGCAGCACACCCCACTCCCATCCCTCGGCCTTCACCTGTTCCTCTCCTACAAGTTGCCCAGCCTCCCGATCTGGGGTGATACCAGGCTCTACAGATGGTACACACACCTGGACCACTGAGAGCCAGTACCGTGGAGGAAATGCAGTCATGTCTGTCCCCGCTGACTTTTGTCTGTAGATCCACCCCGCACCCTCGTGCCCTCACTCCCATCCTGTATCAGGTTGCTGAGCCCCATGGGAAAACAGAGGGTAGAGGGAGAGACCACAGCTCAACCCAAGGAAGGGGCTGTGTGAGCCGGCGAGAACAAAGCGGCGAAGCGGAGGTGGGGGATGCTGGCTGTGAGGCCCCGCCCTCTCTTTTCTCTCCTCCTTTATCACCGCTTCTGCTTATTGGGCAAATGTTCAAAGTCTGTGGACTCTGTGCATTAAGCGCTAAGTGATACGTGCAAGGGAGGAGATCGAAGCACCCTCCGTTTCCAAGAAGCTTGACCATCGGGGAATAGAAGATAAATGTAGGCCACATGACCTTCCCTGGCCCTGCGTTCTGTGAATGGAAAGGTATTTGTCCCTTCCTGGCCTGGTGCCGGCTTGGTGCACCTCCTTGCTCCCTCTTTCCTGCCACAGGTGAACCCTCAACTCTTCCTACTTTCCTTCCTCTCCAGGACCATGTGGAACCAACTCTCCCACCTGGACAGGGGCGAAAACAAGGAAAGGGTCCACCCTCAAATTCCTGGGTTTTGATCTTTCTCCCCCAAAGATGGGGACAAGATGGCGTGTACAGGGACCCTAGAGAGGCATAGTGGTGGTTAGAAAAAGAGGGGGGCCCAGGTGCAATGCCATTACCCCTAGAAACAAAGACGCAGAGAGAAATCAAATTCAAGAACTGCTTGTGTTTATTGGTAACCAGCTCAGGTCGTCAGAGGAGGCTTTAAAAACGAAAAGAGAAGGAGAAATCATGTGACCAGGCCCAATTGAGCATGCTTCTGCTGAGGTCTAACACCCCACACCCTCAACCCCACCCCACCCATGCTACAAACCAGTTGGGAGATTAGGGGGTGCTCCCAGAAGAGCCAGGAGGTCTGACTCCTGGAGGAAGCCGATTCTGACCATTACGTCCCCAGCTGCCTGCTGGGTACCGACCATTACCCCCCCAGATGCCTGGTGGGTACCGACTATTACTCCCCCAGATGCCTGGTGGGTATCGACCATTACCACCCCAGATACCTGGTGGGTAACGACTATTACTCCCCCAGATGCCTGGTGGGTACCGACTATTACTCCCCCAGATGCCTGGTGGGTATCGACCATTACCACCCCAGATACCTGGTGGGTAACGACCATTACCTCCCCAGATGCCTGGTGGGTACCGGCCATTACCCCCCCAGATGCCTGGTGGGTATCGACCATTACCCCCCCAGATGCCTGGTGGGTACCGACCATTACCCCCCAAGCTGGTGCCTGATACTAAACCATTGCTACCCCATATTCCAGAAGAATTTGGCATGGGCCTTGTTCCCCACCCAGTTCCAGCCCCTCCACTTCCCCAGGATGTTCCAGGACGTAGGATCTTCCCAGATAAACCAGGCACAAGCTTGTGAACGAGAAACCAGAATGGGCTCCTGGCAAAGGCTTCTGCCTCCGTTTCCAGTGAACTGGAACCAAGCTGCGGTCCAGGCTCTGAGTCCTGAGGGTAGGAAGCCTCCAGTGAAGGTTGCCTGACATGTGCAGAGGAAGCCTCGGGCAGAGGACCGCCTCTGGAAAGGTATGACAGGGCTTCTGGCAGCACTGGCTCTAACTGGTCTTCAGCAGCAGCAGCCATCCATTGCTGAAGGTACTCTGACGGCCAGGACTCCATGAGGGGCGGCCCCCAGAAGGGAGGCGGCCCCCAGAAGGGAGGCCCGCTGGGTACCTCAGGGTCTCCCTCAGGTAGAATGCCATTTTGTGGAGATTCGCTGAGCCTCGGAAGAACCCCTAGTAACTCATTATTCGCAGAGTCTGGCTTGGGGTGAGGCTGTCCAGAGTTGAAGAGGCTGGTGAAGGAAGGTTGTCCCGAATGTGTGGAGACTTTCTCCTCTGGTGCCCCAGTGCTCCGTGCGAAGAGGCCTGAAGGAAACGGAAGATAAAGCAGTCCGTGGGTCAGATTTGGCACCATCTACTCCGTTGATTCGCTTGCCCCTTCGCTGAAAGTCCCTTTCTGTACTGGCACTTTCTACTTCCCTCGGGGACCTAAGTGCACACCCTCTTACAAGTGTGTATGCCTTCACCTTCTCCCTTAATTCCTATTCCCAAGGACCCTTGTATCTTCCATACCTGGCAGACACAGACAGATCAGGAGCAGGCCCAGGGGAGCCTGGCTCCCACCTGTGAGGCTCTGCATCTTGCTCAGCTCTGGCTTCTGCCTGAGCCCCAAGATAGCAGGTTTTATCCTGTTGTTGGGGTGGAGGACAGCAGACGCAGTCTGGGACAGTGGTTATAGAAACAATGGATCTGCCCAATCCACCCTCATTCTTGATTCGGTCTGTGGCAACAGGTGTCACTTGAAAGTCCCTGAGGAACTGGTTGTTCCTCACCTGGCTACTTCCTGGTACTCCCTGCCCCTTCCTCACCCAGGTGCTCTGGTCCACAGGTCACCCCTAGTTGTCAGCCCTACCCTGTCCTGTCTGGACAGCAAGCCTTGGATGCTGTCTTCAGTGTGTCTCTCAGTAACCCCACTTCTTCTGGATCTAGATCATTCAGTCCAGCACCTTCCATTTATGTATCCCCACATATTCACCTGGATGCCTACAAGCTGGAAGTCCTGGGGTGCAAGAACTCCCCCATCTAAGGAGCTACTTCTAGGTGAAGTCCTTAGTCTGAAGAAACAGGTTTATTTCCCAGCCTGTGATGTGATATATTAACTTCCCACAGCTCCTTCCTATAACAAAAGCCATGAGCTAACGAGTCCTAACATGCGTTATATTGCTTCTTTTTATTTTGTTTCCTTTCCTTAGTTTGTTTGTTTCCTGTTCTGTCTGGTTTTCTTTTCGGGGGGGGGTGTCGAGTTGGGGTGGTTAAGACTGAGACTCACTATGAGATGGGCCTCAAACTTACAATCCACCTGCCTCAACTTCCCAAGACTAGGATGACAGGCATGTGAAGTCATACCTCCCCTGTTATCAAGTTTGTAAAAGACGTGTAAAAAAAAGAGTTTTTTTTTTTAAGATTTATTTATTTATTATATGTAAGTACACTGTAGCTGTCTTCAGACACCCATATGAGGGCATCAATCTCATTGTAGATGGTTGTGAGCCACCATGTGGTTGCTGGGATTTGAACTCATGACCTCTAGAAGAGCAGTCAGTGCTCTTAGCCGCTGAGCCATCTCACCAGCCCAAAAAAAAAAAAAAAGAGTTTTTTAGATTTTACTTATTTTGTTATTTTATGCAGTTTCGTGCCTGAATGCATGTGTGTGCACCACACATATGTCTGGTGTCATAGATCAGAAGGGGCTTTGGATCAGACATTTATAAACAGCCTTGTGGGTACTGAGGATTGAGTCTAGGTCCTCTAGAAGAACAGTCAACTCTCCAGCCCTTATCTTATTCTTAATTACGTGTGTGTGTGTGTGTGTGTGTGTGTGTGTATACACCTGTTGGAGGGAGGGTGTGTGTGTGTGCATGTGAGTGTAGTACCCAAAGAGGCCAGGAGAGGGTATCAGACTCCTAGAGTTGGAATTACAGGTGATTGTGAGGAGCCTGATGTTGGTTCTGGGAACAGAACTCTGGTCCTCTAAAGGACAGCCAATGTTCTCAACCATGGAGCCATCTCTCCAGCCCAGTCACTATTCTTTACAACAAAAGTCTAAAATGGGTCCTTTTGGGTTAAAACAGAAGGATCTGAGGACTGAGTTCTGTTATGGTGGCTCTAGAGAGAATCCACTTGTGGCATTTTTCCAGTTTCCAAGGCCACCTGTGTTTTTTGTTGTAGTAATTATTTAATTTAATTTCTACCACACGTTTGATCATTCAGTTCCCAGGTAAAAGACACAAAACCTTTATATTTATGATAAGTCTTTTAAGCATTAGAGCTGGACAGATATCTATCCTCTAAGCTATTAGTATTTGGGGTTCAGAACAATAACCATAAACACACAGTCAGGAGAAACAGCAAGTATTTGGGCAACACCACTGTGGAGGTGGCAGGCCAGCACTTAGAAAAGTAGATTAGGGATTACTCACCCCCCCCCAAACCCCATAATTGTAAAAGCAAAATAAAATAACCATAGTCTGAGTCTCATTTATTTGTAAGCTAGTTGGGGATAAGCTGAAATTGACTGTGCTACAGTTTCTGGCCTCTTGGCTCCCTTCTCCCTCCTTCCAAGCCCCACACAGTAGGTCTTCCCACACTGTATCATCTGGCTTCCTCTTCTGCCTCCCAAGCTCACAATTTGAAACACTGTGTTTATATTGGACCCACCCAGATAATCCTAGGTAATCCCTTTATAGTAAAGTCAGGTGACTAATGACCTGAGCTGCATCAGGAACGTTGTTTCCCTTTGTTGAGTGATATAATGTTATCCATAAATTCCAGGGATTAGGATGGTGACATCTTTGGTAATGTTGGGGGTGGAAGCAGGTGTCAGATGTATCCAAAGAATATAAGAAACGGGGGCTGGGAATATGGCAAGGTAGTTTAAAGTAATTGTTGCTTTTTTGTTTGGTTGGTTGTTTCCCCACAACATATACCCCCGAGACAGAGTCTCTCTGTGTAGCTCTGGCTGATCTGAAACACAGTCTGTAGACCAGGCTGGCCTCAAACTCAGAGATTCATCTGCCCTTGCCTCCCAAGTGCTGGGATTAAAGGTGTGTACCACCACCATCCAGCTGAGTAGTTATTATTTTTGCAGAGGATCAGTGTTTGGTTCCCAGAAACCCTCCTCTCCTAGCAACCTCCCTTAACTTCAGTTCCATGAGATCTGACGCCCTCTTCTGGTGTTCGTGGGCAACAGGCATGCACATGGTGCACAGACATACATACAGGAAAAACACTCATACACATAAATTATCAATCTAAAGAAGTGTTGGTGGGTGGATATAAGAAATGCTCAGAAGCAGGGCCTCCATTGAGCAGGTCCCAGAGTGAGCAGGGGTAGAGCAAGAAGGGGCGGAGCAAGAGGGAGAAGGGAAGGGCTGCTCACTAATGACCGTGACTACAACCTTGTTGCTCTGGGGAGCCCATTAATGATTGGTCTAGTTTTAAACACAGATGCTATGGTTTACATCTACTTTGAGGCTGTCCCTCACTAGTCTCCAATGTGGGGATATTGAGAGATTCAGGACCTTTAAGAGGCAGGGTCTCTTGGGAGGTAGGTAAGTCACTGGGTAGATTAATGGGGGACTTGGTGGCATGAATTATCTCCTGTGGGAATGGTTTGCTACTGGGGTGAGCCTTGCTGGCTCTGACAGCCTCAGGCATACAGTCTCAACTTCTTGGAGGCTGAAGTAGGAGGGTCACAAGTTCAAGCCCAACCTGGGCTACAGAGTGAGTTCAAGGGCAACTTGAACAGGGAAGTCTCAAAAGAAAAACGTTTGAAAGGGTAGAAAGGGGGCTGGAGTGATGGCCCATGGTTGAGGAGACCTTGCTGCTCTTGCAGAGGACCAGAGTTCAGTTCCTGGCCCCTACGTGGAAAAGGCCACAACCAGCTGTAACTCCAGCTCTTGGGGATCTGACTCTCTCTTCCAGTCTCCTCAGGTACCCATATTCATAATGCATATGCCCAGAAACATAATTAAAATATTAATACCAATACTCTTTAAAGTTTTGGGGGTTGGGTTTTTGTTTTGTTTTTTGCTTTTATAGTTCAACAATAGAGCTGGGGGCTGGAGAGATGGCTCAGTGGTTAAGAGCACTGACTGCTGCTCCTCCAGAGGTCCTGAGTTCAATTCCCAGCAGCCACATGATGGCTCACAACCATCTGTAATGGGATCCGATGCCCTCTTCTGGTGTGTCTGAAGACAGCTACAGTGTACTCATATAAATAAATAAATCTTAAAAAAAAAAAAAACAAACAGACACAATAAAGTGCTTGCCCGGGATACAATAATTCAGTCCCCAAAACTTTGAAAAATAAATAAACAGCCAGGTATGGTAGCACATGCCTTTGATACTTATACTCCTGAGACAGATACAGGTGGATCTCCGTGAGTTAGAGGCCAGCCTGGTCTATACAGCAAGTTTCAGGACAGCCAGGACTACATCAAGAGACCCTGTCTCAAAAACAAAACAAAAAATAAACAAACCAATAGTGAGCCTGGCACCCTGCTCTGCCACGTGACTTCTCCTCTCATTCAGTTCCTCCATGATGCTCAGAACCTGGCAGATGCTAGACTCGTGCTCTTGAACTTTGAAAACCGAGCTTAAAAAAGAAAAAGAAGAAGAAGAGGAAGAGGAAGAGGAGGAGGAGGAGGAGGAGGAGGAGGAGGAGGAAGAGGAAGAGGAAGAGGAAGAGGAAGAGGAAGAAGAAGAAGAAGAAGAAGAAGAAAAAGAAAAAAAAGAAAAAGAAAAGAACTAGAGACCTGTGAGCTAAACTGACCTCACATTCCCAGGTCTTGGGTGTTTTATTATAGCAACAAAAAGTGAACTAATGCAAATGTATTTGAGGGGCTGGAGGTGTGGTTCAGTTGCTAGGGCACCCACCTGGCATACACAAAGTCCTACACCCCATAAGACTGTACATGGTGGTGCACACCTGTAATCGCAACACTCCGGAGGTAGAGGCAGGAGGATCAGGAGCCCAGGGTCATCCTCAGTGTCCTAGTTAGGGGTTCTATTGCTGTGATGAAACACCATGACCAGAGAAATCTGGGAAGGACAGGATTTGTTTGGCTCACACTTGCATGCCATTGTTCATTGTCAAAGGAAGTCCAGACAGGAACTCAATAACTGGATAGGAACCTGAAGGCAGGAGCTGATTCAGAAGCCATGAGGTGGGCTGTTGAGTGGCTTGCTCAGCCTACTTTCTTATAGAACCCAGGATCACCAGCTCAAGGATGGCACCATTCATATGGCCCCTCCCCCATTGATCTCCAATTTAAAAAATAACCTACAGGCTTGACTTTTGCCCATCTTGTGGAGGCACTTTCTCAATTAAGGTTCCCTCCTCCCTGATATCTCTAACTTGGGTCAAATTGACTTAAGACTAGTCAGGACACTCAGTTTCACAATGAGCTCAAGGCTAGACTGACTTACATTAAATCTTGTCTCAAAAATTAAAATAATATATATGTGTGTCTTAGTCAGGGTTTCTATTCCTGCACAGAATATCATGACCAAGAAGCAAGTTGGGGAGGAAAGGGTTTGTTCAGCTTACACTTCCACATTGCTGTTCATCACCAAAGGAAGCCAGGACAGGAACTCACACAGGGCAGGAACCTGGAGGCAGGAGCTGATGCAGAGGCATGGATGGATGTTGCTTACTGGTTTGCTTCCTCTGGCTTGCTCAGCTTGCTTTCCTATAGAACTCAGGACTACCAGCCCAGGGATTTCACCACCCACAATGGGCCCTCCCCTCTTGAGCACTAATTGAGAAAATGTCTTACAGTTGGATCTCAGGCAGGCATTTCCTCAAGGGAGGCTCCTTTCTCTGTGATAACTCCAGCTTGTGTCAAGTTGACATACAAAACCAGTCAGTACAATGTGTCTTTGAAATTCTTATAGTAAGAGGAGCTTATTGTTGTTTTATAATACTGGGGCTTGAACCCAAGTCCCCACACATGCTAGATGAGTGCTCTACCACTAAGCTATGCCCCCATCCCCTTCTCTCTGTTGGAAACAAGGTCTGACTAAGCCTTCAGCTCATTCTGAATCCCAGGTTGGCTTCAAACTTGTCATTTTTCTGCTTCAGGCTTCCAAAGAGCTGGGATTTCAGGCCTATACCACTAGGCACACATAATAAAAAGTGTTTGCCTTTTTAATTTTTAAAACCCATGACTTTGTGCATGAATGACATATATGTGTAGGTGCATGCACCACCGTATGCATGTGGAGGTCCAAAGACAATCTGTGGAGTTGGTTCTCTCCTTCTATCTTTACACGGGTTTTGAGGATCAAACTCAGGTTGCCAGCCTTGTGGGGCAAGCTCCTTTACCCACTGAGCCATCTTGCTGGCCCTTAACCATGTTTGTTCTCTCAGTTTCCTCTAGACAGTGGTGGAGCAGGTGTCCCTCACTGCCTGAGGAGACACACTGGCCATTGCCTGATTTCTCTAGTCCCCACCCCCCACCCCCCAGCCATCAATAGTAAGCTCTTTCTTGAACTGGCCAGTTCAAGAAAAAAACCTTAAGAGATTGGTTCCCAGTTTTGAGGTGACATACACGAACCGTGCCCAATTTTGGTTTTGCTATTCTGAGACAAAGTCTCACTGTGTAGCTCTGGGTCTCTTGGAGCTAGCCTCGAACTCACAGACATTTACCTGCTTCCCAAGTGCTGGGATTAGAGGCATGTGCCGCCATGCCTGCTTTGTCCAAATTTTTAACATGTACCGTATCAGAGACTAGAGGAGTCCCACGTAAATGTCAGCTTCTCCTGAGGTCTCATCCTTGGAGCCTCTGAGGGCTGTGCCCCCCTGGCACTGTCTGGAAGCAACAACTTTAAAAAAAAATTAATGTATATGAGTACACTGTAGCTGTCAGATACACCAGAAGAGGACATCAGATCTCATTACTGATGGTTGTAAGCCACCATGTGGTTGCTGGGACTTGAACTCGAGACCTCTGGAAGAACAGTCAGTGTTCTTAACCTCTGAGTCATCTCTCCAGCAGACCAACAACTCTTAAGTAATGACAAAAGCAGGATTACATGCGAGCCTGCTTGACCATAGTGGACCCTGAAGCCTGACTTTGATCCCAGAGCATCTATGGTCAGTTCAGTGGGAAGCCGCTGGTTCTGGACGGAAAGCTTTAGTCGCTGTGAACTTGGCACCTGTTCTCTCCTTCCCAATGGGAGGGGAGTGGGCCTACAGGAGGGCAGAAATGAGTCCCTTTTCAAAAGCTGTGAGAGTCTTGTACATGGAACGAGGGTCTTCCTAGAGGGACACACACATCCATCTGTCCTTCCTGGGCTAGTATCTACCACAGCGCTTTCACCACGGAGCTTGGGCTGAGGAGGTAGAGAGGACACTATGGCTTTCTTTGTCTATCACAGGACCTCGTTAAGTAGGGCGGTGAGTCACCAGGTTTGCTGCACTCCCGTCACACTGGGATGTTGTCTTTCTCTCCCCACCCCCAGCTCCCAGAACACCCAGGCTCCTGCTCAGTCTTCAGGAATCTTGCCTGGGCTGGTCCAGCGTCCCAGAAACTCAAGATCGGGCCTCCCAGAGAGGATGGCGTTTAGAAAGGTGAGGCTCACTCATGGAGAAGAGGCTAGGCGGGAGAGAAGGAGTGAATGAGGGCTTTTTGGAGGGGAGGACTCCAGCGTCCGTGGGAAGCACAGAGGGGACAAATTTCTTGGAGGTGAGACGTGGAGAGGAAGGATTCGGACAGCAGACAACTCTGCTGTCTGCTCAATTATTGTTTTCCTTCTCTGTGGGAGGAGGGGTAATACAGGAAACGCTGAGCCAAGTTACGAACAGAAATGGGAGACATGGGCCCTCTAGAGGCATGGGAGGTGTACTACCTAGGCCCTCTAGAGGCACGGAAGGTGTACTGCTAGGCCCTCTAGAGCCATGGGAGTTGTACTGCTAGGCCCTCTAGAGGCATAGGAGTTGTACTGCCCAGGTACTAAGAAGAGGCAAAAAGTCTGCACAAAGTTCACAAAGTTTATTGAGCCCTGTCCAGGATCCAGATAGAGTTGGGAGTCTGTGTCAGATTCTGTGGATACCCTGGACTACACACACACATACACACACAGCAACATCTGTGCTTTGGGTGAAGTAGAAACCAGGCAGAAACTGACATGGAGAGTTGGGACGAGGGAGGCGGGAGTATGTTGGAAATGGGTCTGGTAGGGTGTGGTGAGACTCATGATGAATGGCGGGAACCCAACAATTTAGAGGGCTGGCTGAACGGATGGTAGCGGAGTCGCTGAGAAATGCAGTTTGGTTCTCAAATGATGGATTGGTCTTTGTCTTATTTGGCGAACGGGTAGAGGCAAGCTTGACTTATCCGGGCACCCAAGGTTGAGGTCTTCCCAGTCAAGAACCTGAAAAAGTGCGTTTCAAGGCAGGTAATCGAGCAGAGAGGACACACCAGCGGCGTGGTGTGGAAGCACCAGGAAAGGAGGAAGAGGATGGAGTCCACCATTTCGAGTGCTGAATAAAGTCAAGAGCATCATCCGGCTAACTGCAGCACGTGAGGCGGCTCTCCCGGGAGGAGGGCAGGAAACTGAGCCCCTGAATGTCTTCCAGCTGGGAGGTGGCTGACCATTGGAAAATAGCTGTCATGCATGACTTAAGACTTCTCAAGTGGCTCTCCCTGTGGCAGAAAAACTTCAGGATCCACTAACTGGGGCCCCAAAGGCTTCACTCGGGTCAGAATGTTGCGGATGGAACGGCAGGGCACTCTTCCGGGGCTGTTGAGGCCACAGGGCTTGACAACCACGGAGGGAACAGGCTGAGGAGAGCCATTCAGACCCCCATTCAATGTGGAGGAGGGAACAGAAAGGCAGGGGTAACCGGAAGAGCTAGATTTGCTGCCACAGGGCTGAAGGATGATTTTGCCAGTGGAGGAAGAGCTTCCCCCACTGATAGAGCCAGTGCCTGGTGAGGAGCAGGGCCCCTGGGAAGCACCACCACTGCAGGGGTGGTAGGAGGTACTGGAGCTGCTGGAGGTGATCTGAATTCTCGTACCAGAGCAAGGCCCCTTAGAGCTGACAGAGCCAGTGCCACAGAGCTGGACCCCACCAGAGCCCACAGGCTGGAACACATTGCCCGATGGGTAGCCACTGGAACTGGAAGAGCTGCGGCTGGGGATGATGGGATTGCTAGAGAAGTACTTGCCCTCAGAGATTGGGGCCCCAGCTGGAAAGGAGGGGGCCCCTGGCGAGCCCCTGATAGGGTTGTCTTTGGTGAAGTAGCCCACTGGGTAGATTTTACCTCCACTGTAGGTCATACCTGGGACCAGATAACTGTTGGCAGAGCCACCCACCACCTCATAGCCGCCATAGGGTTTCTGGACAGAGGTGATGGGAGGGCAGGGCTTGCCTGAGGGGCCGCCATTGCTACAGGGCATGCCTTGAAACCCTCCAGGGCCTCCAGAGCCATGTTGCTCCACCACCACCACAACAGGTCTCTGGCCACCTGATACAGTGTGGGAGTCAGAGATGTAAGGCCCTTTGTGTGTGATGACAGGCCCCCCACTGCAGGGAGAGTCGGGCAAGTTGGAGCTACAGGGTCGCAGGTTGGAGCTGCTGCTCTGGGAAGTGTATGAGCCTCCAGACTGGGAAGTGCCTGATGTTTGGCGGGAAGAATTGTCATCGGTTGGTAGAGCAGAGCCATTTCCTGGTCCTTCCCGGCTGCTTCCTGAACTTCCAGACTGAGAACTGCTGCTTACCCATTGAGAACTGGTGCTTACCCATCTTCCGGACTCGGAGCCACTGCTTCCTGTCTGAGAGCTGCTGCTTCCTGTCTGAGAGCCACTGCTTCCTGTCTGAGAGCCGCTGCTTCCTGTCTGAGAGCCGCTGCTTCCTGTCTGAGAGCCGCTGCTTCCTGTCTGAGAACCACTGCTTCCTGTCTGAGAACCACTGCTTCCTGTCTGAGAACCACTGCTTCCTGTCTGAGAGCCACTGCTTCCTGACTGGAACCCGTTGCTTCCTGACTGGGAGCCACCAGAGCCAAAAGAATAGCTACTCTGAGAATACCCTGTCCCTGGTTTATATATCAAGGATCCTGAAGAACCTCCCTGGGAGCTGCTGGATCCACCTTGGCTGCTGAAACTGCTGGATCCACCTTGGCTGCTGAAACTGCTGGATCCACCTTGGCTGCTGATGCTGTTGGAGCCAGGCTTTCCAATGAGACAGGGATCATTCGGGGAAGTGATCCTCGTGGGGTCCTTACAGGGGTCCGAGAGGGTCCCAATGCTCTTAGCCAAGATTCCTAGGGATGAGAGCAGTGGTCTGTAAATATCTCCCTCACCCATCATGATGTCCCATCCCCGTCGTCTTCCCAGTATCTCCCAAGAGGAACCCAGGCAAGTTCAGAGGTAGAGAAGGGGAAACCTGGCTATTGTCTATGAAGGGAATGAGGGTGACAGGATCAGGGAAGTTTCATTGTCCAAGCAATGGGGGGTGAGGGTGGAGGGTGCGTAGAGGAGCTCAAATGTTTCCAAGAAAAACAGATGCCGAAACTCTGACGTGGTAGGCGTTGAAGGAGTACCCTTCAGATAGTAGGGAAGGGAACGAATAAATCAGAAATGAGAATGAGACAGTGGGGAGGCTGAGGCTATGGGGCAGGGTGGTCTGAGGCAATTGTGGGTCAGACCATAGAACCAAACATAAGAACAAAGAGGTCAAGAAGGGCTTGGGGGCATTGACTTAGCATGCGCAAAGCCCTAGATCTGATGGTGGAGTCCAGGAAGGACTCCAGGAAAAGAGAAAGCTACTGCAGAGGTACCAGCTTACAAGAGGAGCATACTTAATAACTGATACTCAACCACCAGCTTTGTAGTGAGAGTCCAGACTGAATAAGGGGTGGAATCCCTACTTCCTGTCCCAACCATTTACTGGTGGCCATACCAGTAAATCAGGGTGGGGGCCAGGATGTGGGGTCACCCACTTGTTGCTTCAGAACCTGCCGGTACCAGTGTGACAGGACACTGCACCCTGAGCCACCCATGTTCTTGCTGTCCCAGCCCAGGGTCAGAAGCATAAACCTTCCTCCAAGACACGTGACCATTATCAATATCTCTCTCTCCCTGCCCAGCCTTCACATGCACCTGCTGCCCCCATTCCCCTCCACAGTGACTCTTGGTACCTTGAATCACGTTTAGACCCATCCTCCACTGACTCTCCACTCCCAGCCCCATGCTCCTCTTCCCTCAGCCTGTCTGGACAGCTCTCACCTAAGTGCCTTCTGTCCACTCCAGCCCCTTCAGAGCCATACAGCAAGTGACTAGCCTTTTCTGGTTTATATATTCAGAAAGGCAAAGTCGGCCATGCCTCCCTACAGGCCACCATGAAGACCATGTGACATCTCTCTGGACCATATCCCAAAACACCAAACTAGACATCACAGTTCATAACCCATACTCATACAAGAGCGGTCCAACGACAGCCAGACGGCTACCACCGGCCACCTCCCTAACCTCATCTCAAAAAGAAAAGCGTTGAATGCCAGACAGTGGTAGCACAAGCCTTTAATCCCAGCACTTGGGACACAGAGGCAGGGTCTGTGAGTCCAAGGTCAGCCTGGGCTACAGAGCTACACACACACACAAAGAAGAAGGAGAAGAAGAAGAAGAGGAGGAGGAGAAGGAGAAAGAAGAGAATGTTTACCTGCACAACAAACCATTCCCTTGCCTCTGTCCCTTTAACCTTAACACAGGCTGCAAGCCACCCAACCTGAGCTCAGAATCCTGGAGACTCTGCCTCTAAGTGGAATCTAAAGCCATTTTCCTGACTTCTCGGGCCTTCCAGATCCTCAGCTGAAGTGTGGGAAAGAACAGTGAGTCTACCGTGCATATCTCAAAATGCTAATGTGTTTAAAGTGCCAGCTACAGTCTAGGATTTAAAAGGTTCTGCGATGAGGGTGGTACATGCCTGCAATTCTAGTTCTCAGGAGGCTGAGTTGGAGGCGAGGCGGGGTTACAAAGCAAGACCTTGTGTCAAAAAAGAAGAAAAGGAAAAGAAAAGAGAGAGAGAGAAGAAAGAAAGCAAAAAGGACCAAAGGTCCTGGATCACTTAGCAAGAATGAGGAGGCTTGGAGCCTCACTCCCAGAACCTCAGTTAAAATACATATATAAGAAAATAAATACATGCAAATTAATACATCTAAAATGCTTGCAAAAGAGAGCTCTGAAAATGGTAGCAGGCCGGGTGGTGGTGGCACACGCCTTTAATCCCAGCACTTGGGAGGCAGAGACAGGTGGATTTCTGAGTTCGAGGCTAGCCTGGTCTACCGAGTGAGTTCCAGGACAGCCAAGGCTACACAGAGAAACCCTGTCTTGAAAAACAAAAAAAAAAAAAAAGAAGAAGAAAAAAAAACGAAAAAAGAAAATGGTAGCAATTGTTATTTCTGTAAAATGGGCTGATTGTATCTTCTTCTAGTGGGTCTGCCGTCATTCATATTACAACCTAGAACTTCTTTGGCTGTGTCATATGCATTATTTGTGTCAGAAACCGAATCCCCTCTCTAGGTTTCAGAAACAAGCTCAGAACGTTTACACAGGGCTTGAAGGCAGCCTGGCAGCAGGGCGCCTGCCAGACCATTCCGCCACTATAGAGCAAAGAACAAAAGAATTTGCCTGCAGTGACCACACAGAGGGGGCCAGGCAAGGACAAGTAGTCCCAGATAGAAAGGTCAGAGTCTAGAGCCCTCCCTGTGCCCTTGATAGGGCCTCTCCTGGACCCCGTGCTCCAGGCACTGGATGTCCCTAGCATCCCTGACCTATGGTTTGCATCCCATACTATCCCCCTCCCAAGGCCCCAGACTCCTACCTGGCAGAATGAGACTGGCCATCAGCAATGCCATCAGCCCGTGCCCTCCCACACGCCCCATCCTGGGTGTCCGAGAGGAACCCATTGTGCACGGTGTGGCCTCCTGACTGACAGAAGCTCTTGGGCACTGGGACCTTTATGCCGGGGCTGGACATTCTCTGAGCAGGAGTCACTGTGGGGAGGAGGAGGGGTGGAGGGGGAGGCTGCCTGGGGGAAGTTGGTGTGGCAGGAGAAGCTGAGGCAATCTGGTGTCACATCTGCCTACTCAGCAGAAGAGGTGGCTGCAGTGCAGGGGACCTGAGCCACTGGGCACTAGCCCCTACCCCAGCTGGCCTTCCTTAGCTCTTCGTTGCCTAACCCAGAACCAGGTGCTCTGCCCTGGAGCCACCTCCTGGAAGCTGGCCACTCTCGCCCAGGGACCCAGTCACCCTGCTATTCCCTCCCTGGCTTGCCCAGCATCCCTCCATCGAAGAAGAATAGACAGTGCAGCTTTCCCTCCTGGCCCTGAGAAGCACCCTGCCTGCCCCTGCTCACCCCTGCTCAGCCCACTGTACAATACAGCTCCACCAGGGTTCACACTGTAGTTCCTATCAGCTTGGTTCCCCGGGATTCCATGCCTCCATCTTCTCCTGCTTGGGATCTGAAGACCAGCCCCACACTCTGGACTCCCCTAAAGCCATTGCTAAACACCAGCCTGCCACAGGCCTATTAAAGTGTCCCATCACCAAACAAGTCTTTTTTCCTCTCAGAAACTGGGCATCCACACACTGAAAACCTAAAGGCTCCTTTCTGGGGTCTCTTGGGTCAGCCAGGGTCCGGGTGGGCAGTAGATACCAGAGCTTGGAATAGGGAGAGGCCTGGGTTGGGACCCTTGTCATAGCTGGGCCTCAGTGACTCACAGACCACTCACAGTCCCTATCCTATGGTAGTGACCCAGACTAAGGAGAATGAGCAAGAGGCCAATGAGGCTAATTGGGAAGGTGGTGGCCAGGCTGCCCATTAGCCTGCGCCTTGGCCTAGATGGGCAAACAGAAATCATCTGAGGTTTGTGTCTGAGTAGAATAAAGGACAGTCAGACCAGCTCCCGGGTCCCTGAAGGACAAAAAGACAGAGCCCTGAGATCCACCAAGAGGAAGATAGTTTCTCCTGTACTAATGTCCTTCCCTCCTCCTGTAGCCCAGGCCCCACCCCAGCCAATTGCTCACTAGTTCTGTGGGAGTATCAGTATCAGAGGAAGGGCCCCGAGTTTCCCTCACACAGCCCCTCCTTCTTTCCAGATGTCCATCTCTTCACAAGGTATCTCTGTCCCTCCAGACCTTGGGTTGGCCTCTCCCTTTCTCCCTGCCCTGCCTGGAGTTCTGGGCCCTGTGGTAGTGAATGGGGCCTGTGTGGGTACTGTCTGGAACCCCAGTTCTCCCTGTACCACACAGACCCCAAGCACTTAAAGTAGTTTTAAGTTTAGTTAAGTCTAAAAGACCATGTGTGGGCTGGAGAGATGGCTCAGTGGTTAAGGGCACTGACTGATCTTCCAGAGGTCCTGAGTTCAATTCCCAACCACCACATGGTAGCTAACAACCATCTGTAATGGGATCTGATGCCGTCTTCTGGTGTGTCTGAAGACAGCAACAGTGTATTCAAATAAATAAATCTCTTAAAAAAAAAAAAAAAAGGCTGGGCAGTGGTGGCGCATGCCTTTAATCCCAGCACTTGGGAGGCAGAGGCAGGCGGATTTCTGAGTTTGAGGCCAGCCTGGTCTACAGAGTGAGTTCCAGGATAGCCAGGGCTATACAGAGAAACCCTGTTTCAAAAAACAACAACAACAATAAAACAAACAAACAAACAAAAAGACCAGTGCAGCTGCTTGACACTGTCTAGTTCTTCGCTTTTCCTTGGTGCCTAGGGGAGGGGCTGGAAGGGAGGAGGTCCAGGGAGCACGGCAGAGTGTAGTGACCAGAATACAAGCTCTGAGATGGTCATCGGACAAGGTGAACAAAACAACCATGGCTTTAGAACTAGGATGACAGCAGTCTAAATCCTGGCTAATCCCGTGGCTTTGAGCAAGTTACCAAGCCTCTCTAAGTTTCTATTGCTTCACCTGGAAAGTGGGAGATTCCTGAGATGGGTTGAGTTGGGGACAGGGGACACTGAGGATGGGACCCTGGGCCTTGCACATGTTAGGCAAGTATGATGTTGCACTGAGGTGCTTCTCTTCCTATTGGAAGTTTTTTGTTCTGTTTTGTTTTAATTTTATGTGTGTGCCACATGCATGTAGTTCCTGTAGAGGCCAGAAGAGGGCGTTGGCTCTCCCTGGAACTGAAGTTACAGATGGTTGTTAGCCTGCGTGGAAAGTGCCGGGAATCAAACCCAGGGTCCTCTGGAAGAGCAGTCAGTGCTCTTCACTTCTGAACCATCTCTCTAGCCCACTGGAATTATTCAAAGGTTTATAAAGATCAAACAAGAGATGATCAGAGAGAATCAATTAAACAGGACCAGAATGCAGCCTCCTGCAGTGTTGCTTTCTGGCTGGAGCTCTCAGCTCCTCTGGCCTGTGTATTCCCTTTGGAAAGGCAAGCCAGACATTCACTCTCAGCCCTCACCTCGAGACACAAATAGTGGAGAGGCTGCTCTTTCTGGAGCCTGCGATGTCTCCCCAACCCCTCCCTAGACTCTCAGGCCCCAGCTAGGATCTGGAGAAGGAGTGGGGCCAAGGCAGGGTGAGGAGTGGCGGGGACAGGATAGGGAAAGGAGCCTTTGTGGTCTGAGAATGTGGGCATCCCCAAATGGGTGGAGAAAAAACAAACCGCTTTCCAGCACAGCTTCCCCGGAGCCTCAGAGTAGGCACCGTCTTGTTTTCTTCTTCACATTCCTCCCTGTAGCCGTCAGACCTTGGCCAACACAGCCAGGCTGGGGGAGGCACAGTCTCTCTCGGCCTCGCGCCAGCTCCCAGCCACCCACGCAGTCACGTTCCTCACCCAGCCTCTCTCTCCTCCTGTCTTCTCTGTCCACCCTCTTCCCATCCTTCACCACCCTGCCCATATCTGGAACCTAGAAGCTTCAATCTGTTCTCTGTGTTAGTTAACTGAAAGCCTGTCTGTTCCCCCTTATCCAGTCTCCCTTCCTCCCTCCCTCCTGTGACCATTATCCGCAGTCTGAAAATGGAAGGGGTAGAGGGATGGCTCAGTGGTTAAGAACACTGACTGCTCACCCATAAGGAGCTTACAAGTGTAACTCCAGTTCCAGGGAATGATCCGTGGTGCACCCACACGATGCACTTACACACGCACATACAGGCAAAACACCAATACACATTAAGTAAAGATTTTTAATAATAGTAATAATACATGGAAAATTACAGAAATAAGCAATTTGTTGACTTGTAAATAACTCAATACAGTAGATCGTTATAATTGTCTTGCTTAACTGTTTATCTCTTACTGGGTCTAATTCGTAAATTAAAACCTCATCATAGTCTGTGTACAGAGGATGCCTGCCACTACCTCAGGCATCATTAGGCTCTTAGATTGTACGCCCTGCTGATAAAGGGGCTGCTATTCTCTGCCAGGCCTCTCACTGTCGCCAGTAACCCTTCAACTCAGGCAGCAAAACCCTAAAGGCAGCGAGGGTCAGAAGCGGAGACAAGGAGGCATTAGCTGAGTGTCTGCATAGCCCAGGGTTACCTCAGGAGGCTGCTCGTTGGCAGAGGGAGAGCTGGACGCTCTATCAGAGAGTGAGTGCCTCCTACAGTGAATTGATTGGGTAAGAAACTGTAGGTAATGTGGAGCAAACTCTTCCCCAGAGGAAACACAGGCTCAAAGCAGGAGCCTTTGATGGGTAAGAATTCCACAGAAGGAGGTCTTAGTGGGTGTGAGCTTAGGTTGGGGAGAAGGAAGTGAATGGCAAAGAGGAAAGGCTGAGAGGAGCCTTCCTGTGTAATGAGGACAGTTGGAATGAGGCTGTCCTTAGCCTATGGCTTCTCTCCCCATCCTCAAGAAGAAGGTGACAGTCCTGGGCCCCTTCCCACTGGGCATGTCCTCAGAGATGTTTTTCCTGTAGTAGAGATGGATGGCCCTGACCAAGAGCACTGAGGGACAGGATTTGTCTGCGTGTGTTGAGTCCCTACCAGACTAGGTCCCCTGTGACAGAAATATGGCTCCCAGGGTTCTCATCTCTCTCAGCTTCCCTCATCCCTGGGAGCACTCTGCTGGCATCTCTGGGAGCACTGGCATCCCTGTGAGCACTCTGCTAGCATCCCTGGGAGCACTCTGCTGGCATCTACAGTTTCTACCCTACAGAAGACAACCAGCTTTCTTCACTCTCTCTTCACACAGCCCCTGAAACATGTCTGGTCCAAACACAGGGAACGTTTCCCTAGGACCTCAGACTCTGGGACAGTGAGTGTTGCACCCAAGCCATGCTGCCTCTTGCTGCTTCCTCAAGGATATCTAGTGCCTCTCTCTGGGTCTCACACCCTCTTTCCTTTTGGATGCTTCACACCCCTCCCTTTCTTGCCACATGCAAAGCCCCCGGAGGCTCTGAGGGGGATCTCTAGGGGCACCATGCTGGTGAGCAGAAAGCAGATATCCAGGCCTAGCTATTGACTCCTTACTAGGCCTCAGTCTGTGCTGCCTTCATTCCTCCCAAGTGACTGACTCCCCTAAGCCACTCTTCTCCCCCTGTGGTTTATAGTCTCCCCCAAGAGAAGCAACACGTCTCTGACACACAGCAATGCCCACATGGCTGCAATGAGAGTGTATAGGCTTTGCCCCTGAACCATGAAATAGATGCTGGGCTGGGGTTGTACCCAGTATTGTAAACCCCCTAGGGGCTCTGCTGGGTGTCCCCCCTCCCTGTGTTATGTATTGTCGCTGGCTGGGAGTCACACTCTGAGAGCATTTATCCTATGTCAGAAGGTTCTATGGTATGAACTGTTGTGAAATCTACCTCGCTTTTCTGCCCCTCAGATCCTATCGTCTGTCTCCTCCAGGACTTCCCTCATGAGCCGCAGCCTGGCCACATTCCATTTTTCACACTGCACATAGCTATCCTCCTCCTCTTACTGGCTCACTGACCCCTCCAGGGGATGCA